CTCGCTCTCTCTCTCTCTCTTTCTAGAACAAGTGATTTTGCAGCACAAATCAATGTTGGCAGGTCAGGCAGCCAGCTACTAATCTTGGCATTACAACGCTCCAATCAGCGCAAGCCAGGTAATGGAGTTGTTATTGAACTTCATAGTTAGGATTAGATTCTCAGCGAAGATCAATGCCGCTCTGAGATGAGACTGATAAAGGCCTGATAGCAATCTGAATCCCTATAGCCATGCACTGAGCCTCTCTCTCTCTGTGTGTGTGTGTGTGTGTGTGTGTGTGTGTGTTCGAATTCCTCTCCCTCTCCCTCTTGTTCTCTCTTTCGCCTTTTCTTCTGTTCCTTTTTCTCTATCGTTTGATTGGGCTACGAAGGCTTTCACCTGCATCCAGCTCTTTGTACGTTTATATATTGTTGCTTGACCTGACATAGTCATTTAAGTACAGCAGTAATTTGTCAGTGAGGAGGATGTTTATTTAAATGTCTACACTGTTTAAGAAATATAATGATTTTTGAATTATGGACTGACATAAATGAAGATAAAACGCACAATGATAGGAGAAAATTGAGCATTGAGAGATATTATGATGTATCCCAAAGAGCCAGGCTGTGATGAGAAAAGGGAATTGAGTATCTAGCGATTAATGACTACATTTTTTATCACAACTAATGGCCTTTTAATTCTCTTTCTTTTCCTCCTGCTTTGTAATGGGATTATTAATATCACTCTCTTTTCGAGTGTTTTGAGGAAATAAACTGAGCTAATGCTCTGTGGGGGTCAAAAGCGCAATAGCTATGCCAGGAAGACAAAGACAATTTATTGGGCACTATAATTATGTCTCCAATAATAATAATAATTAAAAAAAAAATGTATATGCCTTCACTTTTTCTGTTCTCTTATTATCCTACTGTCCTAGCTTTTTACTATTTTGAACGATGACTAAAACCTTGTATAACGGGCACTTCTCATGTTTATTGCCATTATATGATACATTGCGTGTTGTATTCCTCAACTGTAAGTCACTTTGGATAAAAGCATCTGCCAAATGAATAATTAAACGTAAATGTAATAATTTCATAATTCAGCATGCATCAATGCTCATACAAAAAGCAGTTTTAGCACTTATTTTCCTCAGGAGGAGGAGCGGCCTGTCACAAACCCCTAAGAGCAGTGGGAGCAGGACCTGTTGGAGCGGCTCACAAAGTTGATTTTGTTAAAGCTCGCGAAAGTACTTCATTTATTTCAGGGCTCCTTGTGGCCATTTAGCAAGTAGCTCTGCGGAGGCCCCTTGACAGTGCCAAATCAATAGTGAATCAATGGCTGAGGCAAATCAATCAGCCAGGTTTTTTTTCTCAAAATATTTAATTAAACATGGTGGAAAATAACTCCAGGATTTATTGTTTGATGCTAAGAGCATTAGTGATTTGCCTTTTCCTGAGCTACGCCTGAGGCCCGAGTCACCAGAGCACTGCAGGAGCTCAGTGGGACCAAGGGAATAGCAAAGACACTTTTCCAATATATAATAATGCTTGTATTTATACATGTGTATGCAGCTTCCTGACTCTCTCTCTCTCTCTCTCTCTCTCTCTCTCTCTCTCTCTCTCTCTCTCTCTTGTGCGCTCTTATACCTCAAGTGCGCTAATCCACTGCACCAGCAGATCGTTTGAGAGAGTGAAGAGAGACAGGGAGAGTGGCGCTATTCTTTTAGATAGTCTCCGTTTAACATCTTAATCCTTCACAACCATCCTACTGAGAGATGCACCACTGTCTGCCCACCACCGGTGAGCATCTCCTCTGAGCTGTGTGGTCAACCAGTGTGAGTCATATTTATTATAAGGGAGTAAAACTGGAGCTGTGTCCCAATTTGGATACTTATGCACCATTCTGTAGAAGAAATAGTGTGAGTAGTGTGTTCAATTTCCAAAAAGAAAAGGCACACTTCAAATACCCGGATGATGCACTTGATTAACCAAAGAAATGAATGCTAGACACTTCATACTCTCAATTTTTGCATTTTTAGCTTTGGATGACAAAATAACCTTATACATGGTTAAAAGTGTATACTCTAAGAAACAATGGTCCAAAACCTGTCACTGGAGCAGTGCCCTTTTCAAAAAGTACTAATATATGCCATTAAGATACTATGTACACTTTAGGTATTAATATGTACCTTTAAGGTACTAATATGCACACTTTATGGTAATAAAGTACAAAGGTATACCTTTTTAACCTTTTCTTTTTTTAAGAGCAACATTTGGAACACAACTTGGATTTCCGGTTGCCATGCTCAACATCAATCTGTGTAGCACTGAAAACCTCTCACTCAGGTCAATTCACCCCCTTCATTTTTTCAGTTTGGTGCTGCGTGTAATCATTAATCGCTTTTCATAATCTGCAGGATACAGAAGGAAGTGATTTGATTGCACACATGCCAAGCTTCTGATAGGGCCAGCCACAACAGACACCAGCAGACATTGATATGTGAGGATAATATAGAGGCCGTGTTGGGATCTGGGATGTTTCTGAGGAGGAGAGAGGCGTTAACGGTGATGATGAGGGTGGCATTGTTCTGAAAATCTGGCAGCTCTTCCCAAGCCTGTGGGTATGAAAAGGGAATTAGGGGAGTGTGTGTCTGTGTGTGCATGTAATCATCACTGGGTCACAGTGGAGTGACCTACCAGCTGAGTCCATTGCTGCTCCACTGCTCACAAGGTAACAAATGGCCCCAAATACACAAACACATGCGTACACAGAGAGAGAGAAATAAAGTGGGTTAACATTTGCTCAATTTCACAAGGCAACTCTGAAACAAAATCTACAAACAATTACACTCGGCTGCACACAAAAGAAACGAAGCGATCTTGTTATCCCAAGGTCTGACGACTCCAGAAAAATGGTAAATGTGTTTCTGTTTATTACAAATAGCTGTTTTTCTTTATCCCAGTGCAGGCTTGTATCAGCGATCCAAATACAGAAAAAGGAAAAGAAAAATTTACTCGGTTACAAACGTAACCTCGGTTCCCTGAGATACGGGAATGAGTATTGCGTCTTGCTAGACGCTATGGGGAAAAAAGTCTTTTTTTCTCCTGAACTGAAGCCTTTTTCAATCACGCAGTGAAACTGCACGGTCATTGGTTCGTGCAGTATGTTTTAAAAACGAACCAATGGCTCGGCATTAGTGCTGCACAAACCTATGGCAGCAAAGCCCACCAAAGCCCGCCAGAATGGGCGGAGTCATCTGGCTATATAAGCAGCCGCTTCGCCATAGGATTCGGGTTACTTCGACTGAAGTGACGACTGAGCCTAGTCGCCAGGGCTAGCGACGCAGTACTCGTTCCCGTATCTCAGGGAACCGAGGTTATGTTTGTAACCGAGTACGTTCCCTTTCGATACTACACTTGTACTGCCTCTTGCTAGACGCTATGGGAACAGTACAATCACGCCGTGCCATGGCAGAGGAACGACAATGATAATCCTTGTCTTAAGCACCTCAGCGCCCAAGAGAACAAGAACAATAAATTCCTCCAGGCTAACGGGCTAAGTCTCATGAATGCCTCACCCAGCCGAGTGATCGTTCCAGAAGACTTGCGCAGCCTCAGCACCCATGGGGGCCGAGAGCGCACAAGTAAGCTCTCTGATAGGTCTGGGCATATTACGTCCAAACTGCACTCAGAGCGAACTGCGTGCCAGTTAAGCAGAAAGAACCCTTGCCTACAAGGCAGGGACATCCAGGTTATAGAACCTAGCAAAAGTGGACAGCGAGGCCCAGCCGACCGCCGCACAAATTTCTGCAATGGTCACACCACTAGACCACGCCCACGAAGAGGCGATGCCTCTAGTTGAGTGGGCTCGTACTCCAACCGGGCATTGTAGGCCCAAGGAAGAGTAGGCTAGCAGAATAGCGTCAATTATCCACTTAGTTGTAGGGGCATGAGAAGCCGCTATTGCCACCACATAGACCTTGAGCGTGGACGGGGAGCGTCCCTTGTCCAACAGATCCTGCAGGAAGGACAGTATCACCGATATGTCACAAGTGAGCGGGTCCTCCCCGCGGTTTGAGCACCAGGCAGAGAATGCTGACCATTTAAGGGCGTAGAGGCATCTTGTTGTTGGAGCTCTAGCCTGAGAAATGGTGTTCAATACACACTCTGGGAGACTAATAGGCTCCCGTCGAGTGGCCACAGGTGCAAGGCCCACAGCTCTGGTCTGGGGTGCCATATCGTCCTGTTCGCCTGGGAGAGGAGATCTCTCCTCAGGGGAATAGGCCACGGGGCTGCTATTAGCAGCTGCGACAGCTCTGCCAACCAACGCTGGTTTCTCCAGATCGGGGCCACCAGGAGCACTTTGCGTTTCTGTTCCCTGATCTGCCTGATTACCTGTGGAATCAGGGCAACCGGGGGAAAAGCGTAGAGAAGGAGGTTGGGCCAGTCGTGGGCCAACGCATCCTTGTCCCTGTAAAAATAGATTGGGCAGTGAGAATTGTCTTCTGAGGCGAAGAGAATTGTCTACTTCCGCCATGCCGAAGACTTCCCAAATTTTCTGAACTGTCTGCGGATGAAGCATCCACTCCTCTGAGGGGACCTTGCTTCGTGACAACATATCTGCTCCTCGGTTCAATATGCCTGGTATGTGTGCTGCTCTCAGCGAACGTAGGTTTAGCTGGGCCCATTCCAAGAGGCGCTCTTCTAGTACAAGGAGCCGCTTCGAGGATAATCCCCCCTGGCGATTTATGTAGGACACCACCGTCATGCTGTCCGAACGGACCAAGTCATGATGTCCCCTGAGGTCTGGTAGAAAGGTTCGACAGACCCGCCATACCGCCAACATTTCGAGGCAGTTGATGTGCAGACTGCTTTCAGCTATCGACCAGTTGCCGAACGTCGGTTTCCCTTCGCACAGAGCTCCCCAACCTGTGTTGGAAGCATCTGTCGAAACTACCTTCTTCCTGTAGACCATTCCCAGGGGAACTCCCTGTTCCATCCATTGAGTGTTCATCCAGGGTGTCAGGGCCGTTACACAGTCCTGATCTACCCTGATAATCAGGCGTTCATGACGCCACGCGTGGAATGGAACCCACAGTTTCAGCCAGTGCTGGAGGGGGCGCATTCGCAGCAGGCCCAACTGTAGCACTGGAGATGCTGCAGCCATGAGGCCTAGCATTTTCTGAAACCTCTTGAGGGGGTGAGAGGCACCAGCCTTGAAGGAGGCCGCGAGCCACCGTATGCTTAAGGCGCGCTCTGTTGTGACCTTCGCTTTCATTTGAGCCGAGTCGAATGCTGTTCCCAGGAACGAGACTCGCTTGCTGGGAAACAGTGCGCTTTTGGCAAAGTTCATCCTGAGCCCCAGGCATTCCAAATGGCTGAGGAGAAGGGCTTTGTAAGATAGTGACTCCGCCTCCGACTGGGCCAGAATGAGCCAGTCGTCGAGGTAGTTGAGAACGCGGATTCCCGCCTGTCTCTCCCTTGACTGGGCCAGGACGAGCCAGTTGTCGAGGTAGTTGAGAATGCGGATTCCCGCCTGTCTCAGGGGGGAAAGAGCCGCATCCATGCACTTCGTAAAGGTGCGTGGAGCCAGGGACAGCCCGAAGGGAAGGACCGTGTATTGATAAGCCACTCCCTCGAAGGCAAATCTCAAGAATGGCCTGTGATGGGGGGCTATCTGGATGTGAAAATAGGCGTCTTTCAGATCCAGAGAATAGAACCAGTCCTCTGGGCGGATTTGCGAAAGGATCTGTTTCAGTGTAATCATTCTGAATGGCCGTCTCATGAGGGCGTGATTCAGTCGTCTGAGATCGAGGACGGGCCGTAGGCCGCTGTCCTTCTTGGGGATGAGGAAGTAATGGCTGTAGAAGCCTGACTCGCTCTGGGCCGGAGGAACCACTTCTATGGCTCCTTTTTCCAGCAAATTCCTCACTTGGGGACCACTCCGCTGAAGCGCAGGGGTCTTCGAGCGAATTGGAGTGAATAACCTCGCTTTATTATCCCCAGAACCCATTCTGATACCCCGGGGATGGCTTGCCACGCCTCGGCCCAGAAGGACAGGGGTTGGATTGGTTCAAGTGCCTGGTCACTGCAAGGGGACACGGTACTCATAAGAAATGGAAGAGGAAATTTGCTCTTTCTTTGAAAATGTTTGTGTTTTATTTTGCCCACTATAACAGTGGATCGCCGTTTGGGCACTTGAAAGGGCCCAGAGTTTAGATCAAACACATTGCTGGCTGCACCTGGAACTAGACGGGGTGATTGGCGGCTTACGAGAGGCAGCTTGGGGGGTGGTCCCGCTGCAGGGAGACTTGACCTCCTCCTCTTACTGCTCCTTTGCTCAGGATGACCCCGGAGGCGCCGGGTCCAGCACTAGCTTAGGCCGGGGGCCCTGGCACTTCGGAAACGGGTAGCATTTGGCTGAGCAGGAACGTCTTCGAGGCTCAGGCTTGGCTGGCTGGCTGGGTGGCGGCGGCCGCCGCAGGTGCAGGCGTTTCGCGGGCTGCTGAGTCGGTGCAGATTTGGGGCGACTCGAGGCAGCTGCAGTGCTGGAGCGCTTTGGTAGGAAGTGTTGCATGGCTTGGGACGACTTCTGTGCTTCAGTAAAGCGCTCAGCGAGGCCCTCGAATACTGGCCCGAACAGACCATTGGGAGAGACCGGGGCGTCGAGGAACTGGACCTTGTCAGCATCCTTGATCTCGGTCAGGGTCAGCCATAGGTGGCGCTCCAACACCACCAGACTGGCCATGGAGCACCCAATAGCCTGAGCCGTGGTCTTTGTTGCGCACAAAGCCAGGTCTGTCACGCTCCTCAGCTCCCTGAGCGTCGCGTGGTCCGGGCCTGACTCGTCTGTGCTGGCGAGGAGCTTGGCCTGGAAGACCTGGAGCATGGCCATTGAGTGGAGCGCCGAGGCCGCTTGCCCAGCCGATGAGTAGGCGCAACCAGCGAGGGCTGACGTCGCCCTACATGGCTTGGATGGATGGGCAGCCTTAGCCTTCCAGGCCATCTCAGTGGGCGGGCAGAGATGCGCGGCCACTGCCTTGTCGAGCGGAGGCAATTTCTCATACCCCTTGCCTTCAGCACCGTCGACCTAGGTGAGAGCGGATGAAGCAGCAGAACGGAGGCGGGCAGAGTATGGGGCGCGCCATGATCTGGTGAGCTCGTCGTGGACCTCCGGAAAAAAAAGGAGAGGATCTCTGGCTAGGGGCTTGACGGCGCCCAGGCAGGAACCATTCATCCAGACGGCTGCGGGAGGGCTCTTCCGGTGGAGACCACTCCAACCCCAGCTCTTCAACGGCTTTCGAGAGGACACGGAGTAATTCGGGGTAAATCTGGGATGGGTTTAATGTCGATGGGCTCGGACGGCGGCAGGGGGGCGGGGTCAGCGATAGAGCCCCACAGCTTCTCCACGTCCGAGGCTGCTAATGACAGGCTGTCATCCAGCAGCTCCTCGTCACTCCCACCGAACGAGACCAGATCACTCGCGCTGGCAGAGGGACGCTGTCAGCCTCTCTGTGTGGAGAGAGCGAGGTACGCGGGACCTAAACGATATAAGCTCGCTCGCATCCGAGCGCTAAGATCCTCTGCCCCGCTGTTTTTTCCTCACAGTTTCCTGGGAGGAAGAAAACGGGAGGGTGCGAGGGGCGGGGTCGATTTCAGCAAAGAAACCTATCCGCAAGCGCAGAGAGGCGAGAGTCATGCTCTCATAGTGGGAGCAATTCGTCTCGGTAAGCGCGGATTCCACGTGGGATTTCCCCACGCAGGAAACACACTCACGATGGCCATCATCGGCGTGCAAGGGAGCCCTGCACGTACCGCAGTAACGGCGCTGCATTTGAAACAACGCCGTAGAAATTTGCTCTTTAGAAATTGCTCTTTATCGGCTCGCCGGATGGCGGCAGGGGAACCGGACTGCTGCTGCACGTACCTGAAGGCGGCGAAAGGCGCTGAATCAGCCGGGCAGTCGTTCCACTGTGAGGCGTGTCAACGGCGAGCAGGCTCTTCAGTCAGCGGAGATGCGAAGAACGTCATCGTCGCTGAAAGAGAAGAAATCTGAATCCTATGGCGAAGCGGCTGCTTACATAGCCAGATGACTCCGCCCATTCTGGCGGGCTTCGCTGTCATAGGTTTGTGCAGCACCGCTGCCGGGCCATTGGTTCGTTTTTAAAACATACTTCACGAACCAACGGCCGTGCAGTTTCACTGCGTGATTGAAAAAGGCTTCAGTTCAGGAGAAAAAAGGACTTTTTTCCCCATAGCATCTAGCAAGACACAGTACAAGTGTAGTATCGAAAGGGAAATATATAGAGTGAAAATAACAGAATTATTAAACAAAAAAAAAATCTGAAATTAAATGTTGTTGAAATTAAACTGAAATAATGTATATTTGTCTGTAGAATACAATGTAACATTGTAAATTTACATTTACTTTATATAATTCTATATTTATATTTACATTCATATACATTACATAGATAGATAGATAGACAGATAGTATACACTTTTACATATACTACTTTTATTAACATGTTAATGTACCACACAAACACACTTTCATACACTTAGTCTGGAGTGTGTACATGAGGACAGTGCTTAGGTGGTCTGTCATATCACTAACTTCATGCTGAGTACAAGTGCTGGCCATATAAACTGCACTGACCTCAGTGTGTTGGCATGCTGTGCCACTCAATATTACTGATTACACACACACACACACACCGAAGACCATAATGCTATTCAGTCTAGACCTGATAACAGGCTCGCACTACTATTTGCTATTAGCCGGTTATAAAAAAGATAATAAGGATGAAAAAAAAAACTAGCTTGCATTCTTTTACATTAAAGACAGGAGGTTAGATTTTGAACTGTTAGGTTATACAAGGCATACAATCTTTAAAAACCTACTTGACTTTATATTTGAGGATGCATCAATATGTAAACTCTGAGCTATTCTTCCCGCAGGGTTATCAGTGCCTCTGGGTGGATAGGGGCCTCTGTGTTAGTACAGCTGCATCTCCTGCAGTTATATACTAACCAGAGGAAAAAAACAAAAAAAACAAAACAAGGAGAGCTAGCAATCTGGAATGGACTGTATAAAAATCACACAATTAGATTATTACTGGATTACTCAAACAGCTTCTTTGTTTTAGCTGTAAATCCACTCTATAGGTCTGATTTTAATCATGAATAGTTATTCTGTTTCTCTTTCTGTCACTCTCCTTTTGTTCAGCACAATTTGTTGCTGATGGAAGATGTCTTCATTATGTGTGCATGCTATGTCCAGCAGCTCAATATGCTATTGGGGCACCCTGTAATCTTTCTATAGATATTAGACACAACTTGCTTCAGGCAAACATCTTCTATAAGAAAAAATCCTTCCTGACTGCCTTCAACTTGAGATCGATAGAATGCAACCATATTTTCTTTGTGTACTTCCTGGAGATCATAAACTGGCATTCTTTGGCCTAAGAATGTTCAAGTCAAAAAAACTTCCACTGGAATATCTTGTGTTCAGGAATTGCTTGCTGCACCTCTTAATCAAATGATTTCATCATGTACACAGAGAATGATGCAGTACAATGAGGGTTTTAGTAGTCCAAGCGGTTTATTACTGACCCCTCAATGAAATATCTCTAGGCAAGTCACTGTAGAATTAAGGATAAATAATTACTTTATGTTGTTTATTATTAGGAGTTACTGCTGACAGAATTAGTTTTTAAACCAGAAGTAGTTACTGTGTGTCACCACATGAAGCATTAATCATAAGTGACCGGATTGTTTACAGTTATTACTACTAACATAGATTTGGAATGGTATTAGTAATGGTAATGCATTGGCATAGCAATTTGCATATGTGCAGATGACAGTTTTATAGCTAAGATAACTGAATTCTAATCTGTCAACATAACATAAAAAGATGGTGCTTGTGCACTCTGGTCTTGCCCTTGAACACACGTACACACTTTCTTTCAGTCGTGCTACTGTGTGTCTTTCTGTCCCTTCTCCATAAACTGACAGCAGCAAAGCAAGCTCCAACTTGTATTTTAATTCAGGCCTGAAGTTACTTATTTTGGTATTGATCAGCTGTAATGCTGAATCAATTCTCATCTTGTTACCTGGGCTATACCTGTGTAACACACTGATATCCCCGGCCACAGGAACTCATTCCCTTTGCAAAGTGACTTTACCATAAAATCAATGGCTGCTTTGTTACTGATACAGGAGACAACCACGCAGAGAAAGGCCGACAGCAGTGAAGAAAACAAGCATGTGGCTAATATTCAAATCACCGTTGTGAAGATTGTCCAGAAACACTGGACAATTTTCTGTGCTTTGTTTTCCCCCAGAAACATAATAATAATTATTATAATTATAATAATAATAATTATTATTATTATTATTATTATTATTATGTCAGGTAGAACTACTGAATGACCTGCACAAGTAGAAAAACTGGAAACCTATTCTTATCACATTCACATTGTCAGTCATTCTCTACAAATTTACTCTAAAAGGCAACTGAGGAAAAAAAAAATAGGTCTTGTACGTGTGTGCACTTTGCTGAGAGGGCAGATGTTGGCAAATACCGATAAATGAAAGTGACCCTGCCTTGCTAATAGAACAACTCGAAGCCCGCGCAAGACCGCCATCAAAATATTTACCAAAGCTGCGCGCGAAGACTGGGCAGCGCGTGCTCTGACCTTCTCAATCAATTACTGCGCGTGGCCGCCGCTGGCTGCGCAATTTACCAAATCCAAATTCCCACTTTATGACCGCGCTGCTCCGACTATACGCTTGCCCCGTATCACAGCCGAAGAAACAATCGAGAATAAGTCCCTCTGGATTTCCACAGCCTCAGCACTCAGACTTCAGCAGTCACTTAATAGACTGGGGTTGTCGTCGAAGCGTTGATGCTGAGGGAAATGTTTTTTTCTTCCTTTTTCGTCTGTGCTTTGCTTCAGTTGCCAAAAGCTGCACACAGTATAATATTAGATACACGATTAACATTTATATGATTAGGATAGACTTTTTCTTCCATTGTATTTAAGCCTCTTGATATTGTGAAAACAAGAGGTCTAAATCCGCCCGTGTTAGTGTAAAGGCATAAATGTTAAGAAAATCCCCACAGTGCACAGACGCCAGAACGTGTAATCTAAACCACCTGTAGATGTTCGGTAGGACAACAAGGTCGGTTCTGATAGAGCATTTGGTCCTCTAGCTAATGAAGGGTTAAAACAGACGTCGCCTTTGAATTTGGTGTTTGGCACAATTTGTTAAAGCATTTTAATAAGTTGCAGTCCATTGACTACTCTTAATTTGCTCCAAATTGCCGTGTGTGCCCAGGGAACAGTTCAAAACTCGTCACTTTCTCCTCCACCGCAAGTTATCTCTTTAATAGACACGATTGATTGGAGAAACCTTATTAAAATAACATTAGTCAAATTATGCTAACAGTAACATTTAAACTTTAAACATATTCAGGAAGTACACTTGCTCCTGAGTTCATTTTTGAAAGCATTTATTGGATTAAATGTCCTCAGCCATTTCACACACACACACACACACACACACACACACACACACACACACACACACACAAATGTGTTTAGCCACACACACACACACACACACACACACACACACACACACACACACACATATATATATATATTGATTTTTAGACAGAGGTGTTTTGTATAGGAAAATTAAAACTTCTCCCTACAAGTTTTTTTTTTGCACTTCAGCAATAAAACTAATTAGCTAGTTAGTTTTAAGCATTAAAACTAACTATATAAAACTAGCAATACAGTTTTAATGATGTTATGTAAACTAATACATGAAGTAGTAAGTTTATTTTTGCAGAAAGCTGCTCTATAAAATCGTGGATAGATTTTGATGAAAAGTGGTTAATAATCTGGAACCACTTAGTATAAAACATATTATAAATCATAATCTTTTTAGACCAACCCTATATAGCACTAGTGGTTCTGCGATTCTTTATAATCAAGATAGATCTACTATATTACTAGTCGTTTTTCTGTTTAACCAAAACTTAGATGCAAAATGTAAACTCTTCACAGAACTTGCAAACTGATTTACCCTCTCAACTCTAACCAAATAAAATCCTCTTTGCCGGAGCTGTTAAAGAAAATGTGATTTAGGCCAGTCACTCTAACACACATATTTCTCATTCCTCCCCGTCGAATACACCACACACATCAAAGGTCATTAAGTGTGTTTTCGTTTTAAATCCTTTGTCACCTCAATTAACAGATCGGATCAGAAAAGCCCGTTTAAAAGACCATGTGCGATGGGGTATGTGTTACTTGTTTTCTGTCGCCTTGGCATACAGAGCTGATTCATAGGTGTAATTTGAAGAGCCCCTGTTTGAAGTCTTTGATCAGCACTGTCGCAGGCATCTTGTGTATTGCGTAAGGAAACGCTTTTGAGCGCAACGTCTCTGCTTGTTTATTTGGATGCGTGCTGGAGAATGCGAAACGGTGTCATCTGCATAATTGCTAGTAAAGGAGTCACAGAAATCATCCCTCGAGTCACACATCCGAGATTGTCCTATTCATACACGTGATATTAGTGCGGTATTTTGAAATGTTGGCCTGCGTTTAATGGAGTCTTGTTAGGCTATAGGTAAAAAAAAAAATTAACAATTAGATAAATGCGTGCCCTATTAGCAAATGTCTATTAATAATTCTGATACAATTGTTTAGTTTTATTGTTTCTATTAATATTATTAGAAGTATACAAATATAAACTATAATGATAATAATGTTTAAGCATTTTATTTAAATTGTTACACGGGCTTCCAACGGTGTGGGAGAAGAAGGCAGGAAGAAAACACCGTCCTAATGCTTTTATGGCTGTGCCAGTTTCCTGGGTCAGTGTGAAAGTGTTAAGTTAGTGCATGTGTATTTGATTGGGCCAATAAATCAGAAGCAAACCTTGAAACCCTGACAGATCCCGGGATGAGACACGTGTCCATCCGAATTCAGAGCGCTGCAGGGCGGACTCCAGCACGCACACTTTTCCTTTCCTCCGTGCTTCCAACTTCAGCGGTTTGAAAACGGTTAGTTTGGGTCAAAATCATTGCAAATACCTGTAGGTAAATATGACTAAAAATAAAACCAGACTGCTTGACACCTAGAGGGTTAGCTGCGTTTTGCATTGTCCCAGATGGCGCAGTGCTGTGGGGTCAGTCGGGTGGGCTGAGAGCTCTTGTTAGCTCTGCAGGTCCGTGTGGGTGTTATTGACGGTTATGTAGTTATTACCATCCGCTCTGAATGGCATCAGACTGCTGTTCTAATTAATAACCCCCGTGATCCTGCATTGGTAGACGTCAAAACAGCAGACACGTGGTAAGGAGAACATGGAAAACCGGGAGTCCTTAAATAAGCAAAGAGCCAATTACAAATGACATTCCAGATATTAGGATGCCATAACAATAACTATCTCTTTAAAAGCAGATGGAAGGTTTAGGAAGAATGCTGCGTTCTTGGAAACCACATCACATTAAATCCAAGCCAAAGTTGATTCACCATAATCTTTCATTCCTGAACTTAGATTTAGTCATCCTATATTCAAATAAACGAAACTCCTTAAAGCACTAATCGGGGCCGTTGTTTGGAAGACGATTAGCAAACATATGATGACACTAGATTGGGAGCATAATACGATTATAGATGTTTCCTGCATATTTTCATATATTGATTCAAGGAATTTCAATCGTGATCATCGTCCTTTGTTTTAATCCGTATTATTTACAGAAGGGTGCGGATTATATCAGATCTTTTCAATGGATATCTGTCTATCTGTAGAGTAATCCTGTAGGTTAATAGCCCAAAATATGTTTTTAGGAACAGAAGCTTTTACACATGAATGCAATTGAAACATTTGCGATTAAATTTTAATACGTCAAAAAAGCCTTCAAGGCTGACAGCTTAAATACATAAATCATATATAGTAGTAGTAGTAACAATAATAGGCCTAATAATAATAATTTTCAATAGTTCAAAAATT